GTAGTGTATAATATGGTTTACAGACACGAACCTCTTAAGGCACCACCGTCATAGGTACATCTCCAAAAACTACTACTGCTGAAGTATAAATTCATATTAGCCAGACATTCTAGAGAAGTATTGCTCAAAAGTGCACTCAACCACTGTAGTTGATTGTGTCTAATCCTATCAACCACATGTCTACTCAACATGTCCTCTGAAGACTACTTCCAGACAGGTTGTCAAGCAAGCCAGTGGACTGGCATGAGTAGTAGCATGCCATGCCATCCATGCCCACCCCGGCATGGACTGGCAGTGCACTGCACAGGCAGAGAGGAAGGTTGGGCCTTGAGCATTGCCAGGACCAAGACGTGCGGGTGCCCTACTAGGGACTGGCTCTGCCCACCCCCGCCCACACCACATGACATCACTGCTGGCCAGACAGCTTTGTCATTTGGTGTGGGAGGAGGGGGACAGAACCAGTCCGGTTTGGCCCGGAATCGAGTCCCCAGCCAATGCTCAAGGCTTCAACCCCTCTCGTGCACTGCCTTCCACCTGCATGGTACAAGAGACAAATATTAGTCCAGGCTCTTTAAAAACACCAAGGATGCAGCATGCGTCAAAGCAAAACGATGAACACAACTAAATAGAAAAGATTCAGCGAATTGAGTCAGTGCAGAGTGAAGGGCAGAGACTTATCTGAAGTTTAAAAGTTGGAGGTGTTGAGCAGTGCGCAAAGACTTGAAGCTCCATGACATGCTGAAGGTCCTTGGTTGAGCAACCTGCCACATAAAGTAAACATAAACCAAGTCAGTAAATCAAGTAGATTCAGAATCACACAGCAACAGAAAGCAAGAGTTGAGGGGAAAAGAAGGAATTGGCAAGCTTGGAGTAAGCAGTGGAGGAGCATTGGAGCGATAAAGCAAGGAAATAAGCTGGGATTGGTGACTTATCTTCCAAGGTTGTTGAGCCTTGCGGTGCCTCAGCAGACCAGCTCCCATGGATCTTGATTCTTGGGCTTGCTGAAACGCGTTGTTGAAGCAACCTGCCAATTGAAGTCAGAAAATCCGAGTTAGAAAGGAATAGTCAATGAAGGAAAACGAAACAACATGCAACAAGTGACTTCAAACGAGACTTACTCGTAGTGAAGAGAGAGGAGGCACCTGCCAGGTGCTGTTTGCAGGTACGTTCACCTCGCCTTGGAGCTTGGCACAAGGGCCATAACCTGCAAGGAGATCAAGGGAACTACATTAGTAAACAGCAGTGAACAAATCAAGCAGAAACGGACGGTGATGCAAGTGTGGTGAAAGTGTGCACTGCCTACAGAGCCAATACCAAAAAAAAGACCTTAGGGGGACCTTTACCCACCTCAACCTTTACCATCACCTTGACCTGAACCAAGGGGGGTGGCTCCGAAGAGTGTGGAGTGGGTGGCTGATGCGTTCAACCTTCACCTGCCCTGGAGCTGCTCCTCTGTTGTACGCCACGGAGCAAGGATGGCCACCAAACGTTGTTGTTCCTCTAGAGTCATCGCAGCAGACCCCCAGATAGAACCTGCAGGTATGGCAGTAAAGACGAAGTAAAGGTCGGGCAATAAAGAATGTAAAACGAAAAGAAGCGTGGAAAAAACAGAGCCAATACAAACCGAAAAACCTTCAAGGGGAACCTTACCAACCTCGACCTGTATCATACCTTGACCTGTACCTAACCTTAACCAGGGGGGGGCTCTGTTAAGTATGAAGGGTGGGTGATACTACAACCTTCTCCTCTGTTGGCCTTCATGAAGCATGGAAAGCCCCGACGGCCTTTGCTCCTCTTAAACATTCGGAAATACGCCTCGCAGCCTCCATTTGAACCTGCGAGTGTAGACAAAAACATGTAGTTAGTGTACGGAATTGAAGAAAACATGCAGAAAACGACTTTGCCAAGTGAAGAAACATGTGCTGCCCCACCACAGAGCCGATACAACCTGTACCGTAACCTTTACCAAACCTTAACCGGGGACCTTTACCTAACCTGTACCGAACCTTTACCAAACCTTAACCGGGGGGGAGGCTCTGTGGTGAGTGGTGGTGCAAGGTGATACGTTAAACTTTCACCAGGACGACTCGTGGGAGCTGCTCCTCTGCTCCTCCGGTCGATCGATGACACTTCAGCCACGTCGTAGCTGGCGTCGCGACCAGGCCGAGGACGCCTTGAAGAATGGAGAGCCACAAAAACCGCGTTGCTCCTCTAAAAGCTTCGGAAGTACGCCTTGCAGCCTCCAATAGCACCTGCAAGTATAAGAAGTAACATGGAGTCAGTGAACGGAAGTGAAGAAAGCAAAAGGAAATGAAGACTGTAAACGTGAAAGAAACACGTGCTGCCCCACCACAGAGCCAGTACCAACCAAACACCTTGGGAACCTTTACCGCACCTGTACCGAACCTGTACCAAACCTTTACCAGGGAGGAGGCTCTGTGGTGAGTGGTGGTGAAAGGTGATACTTTCAACCTTCACCGTAACAAGTCGGAGATATCGATGTCGCTTCAGCCACGTCGTAGCTAGCGTCGCGACGAGGTCGAGGAAAAAACGTAGATCGACGCAGCTTCGCTACGTTGCACAAACTCCCACGGTCGAGGTAATGAAGCTCCACGATCCGACACACGGTCCCGGCAAGGCTGAACGGCGTCGACGTGAGAAGATGGTGAAGGGTTGAAACTGGTAGCGCGATCGAAAGCCAAGTTCGATTAGCAAAAGTGCCAGGAAGGCTACGGAAACCAATTGAAAATTACGAGAACACGAGCCGGAATACGAAGAGAGACTGAAGATGCGTGGAATGTCTAATTTCGGACCGTTGGGATGCGGTTTGGAATCAATGAGCGGCTGAAAATCTCGCTTTGCTGGCTTCGAAGGTGGTCCCAAACATGCCACCGTGGACTAAGTGGACGATTGTGGATCATAAGGAATCGCCGACAACATGAAGATGACCTCTGATTGGACCGCCAAATGAGCCCCAACGTTTGATTAGACCGCCAACGAATACACTATCCAACCAGAATGTCCTCAAACTGGGACACGTATGCTGTTTCAACAGCCAGAAAAAAACGCGAGTATACACACAAATTTTGAAGGTCTAGTGACGTGGCCTATAAAACTTCCGCTCATTCAACCGCCGCGATCCGTATTCCGAAGCGTGCTGCTAATTTGAGCCGCTCTAGTGCTTAGGAGGCGGCTGGCAGAAGAGTTGGGAGGGAAGTCGACATCCGTCTGGTTTGGTCTGACAGCAGCGGCGGTAGAGAGAAGCGATGGAGCAGCTGTAAACCCATCATCTGCCAGAAGGAGAAGCTCGAGACATGGTTTGGCTAACGGGCGAGCTCAGCAGGTAACTTCTGCTCTCGGCTGTTGCGATTATATTGGGACATTGTCAGATGGTCGAGATTTCTGGAGACGTGGTTCGCGAAATGTTTTGCTGGTTGGCGAAACGCTTCGTCAGCCTGGGTATGTAGAGATGTGGTGTGTGAGGGAAGGGAAAACGCAGGTAGGTCGGATGTGTGACGGAGGGTCGAATCTGGTTGAACACGGTTCTGACAATTCCAGCGGGTTTGCAGTTCGCTGAGAGATTTGAGTGACGAACTTGAGCTTGCTCGTACCAATCCCAAGGTTGTTCACTCGTGAGTCGAGGCCAGATGCCAGCGAAGCGAGAGTCTCAAGAAAGTGTACCTCAATGCGGTGACATGCGATTTCGTGCTTTTCCGAAAGATTCTTCGTTTGAAAGTTCTCCAGCAAGAGGTACAAGATGGCTTTCACTAACACTAAATTTCTCTCATCTTGCAGTAACGCTTCTAATCGTGTTGCGAGGGCGCTTATGCAGAAGAACTGCTGCGAATTCCAGTGTCAAAGCGCATTCTCAAGTTTGCCCACCATCGAAGTTTGCCCACCAGCCCGTTTTTCCGAAGATGATGGTGCCTTTGGTGGGAACGCTCCCACTCTAACCACCGAACCTCATTTAGGCGGGCGACAGATGTCGCCAGCGTCGCATGTCCGATATCCAATGAAATTGACGCGCCAGCTCGCATACCAAGTGTTGGAGGAACTTCGTCAGGCAAAAACCTAAACGGCCGTGCATGACGATTGCGCCTGACGTAAATTCTGGGCACAATGGTCATATCAAGTCAACGTGGGCTTACTTGGCAAAATCAAGAAAGCAGCGCAGAAATGGGTTTCGTGGGCAGGAAATAAATATATGTGACGGCTGTGTGCACGAAACTGGCATGTCTAACACTAGTCCCAACACCCAGCAAACGTGGCACGATCTCCATTGTCGTACACTGACAGACAGGCCAGGAATTGCGACAATGGCTGGTTGGACTCACGGTGGCCAAACTTCGAATCGCGTGTGGTAACTTTCCAATGTAAATTAATGCCACGTCAACATTACGAGTCGTGTGGGCGAACTTTTGATGGTGGGCAAACTTGAGAATACGCCCTTAGATGGATGATCCACAAACTCTAAGGGAAACCGAGCCGCTGCGGCAGTTTCAATGGCTTCAGGAATTAGGCAAGAAGTCGATGCACTCTCAATAGCTCGCCCTCTCCCGTTCCAACAGGACAGACTCAATATCTAGGTAACTACCTGTTTCGATTGCCCTCGAGAATCCACTTTCGTCATTCAAACCATCAATTATTCGAGATGGGTCTTACGCTAGTTCCAGTTCACAATGGCTCATACGAATTGTGCATTGAAACCCTTGGAATCACTTCCCCAGTCTCACGCACAGACATCCGAAAACCTCTCCGACTTGTGCACTTCCCGGTCTACGATGAGCCTCCATCTTCACTCTTCCTGCATCCTAGTGTAGGCTTGAAAGTTCCTGAAAGTGGAGTGACAAATTTCCCACGAGAGTTACGGCGGCTTGGAGCAGGATCACAGCTTGTTATATCAGCGCAACGAAGCCAAGTTACGAATCGAGATCTGACTGAAACGGAATCTCTAATACCGGAATCCAGACCTAGATTCATCGCGTCGCGACGCAGCGGCAATGTTGGGCGTGGGCGAGGTCGTGTGGGTGAAGTACCGCGGCATGGGTGCCGTCTGGCCGTCGCAGATCGTGTCGCGCGACGATCTGCCTGCGGCCGAGCGACGGCGGCGACGAGACGACGACCACGTGCCCGTGCGACTTCTCGGAGGCGAGGTACGATGCCGCGACAGGCTTCGCGAATCGCTGTGAACGCTATTGCCCGTTGGAGACGAGTGGCGATCGCGGTGTTGTGTGTCGGATGGCGATTCGCGGAACTAGTCGCGGCGAAAGGGAGAGAGCGCAAGGATCTTGAATTTTCCGCGAAACACGCTAATTACTTCATCTCAAATGTATAAAGTGCACGGACAAACGGCTAATTGATCGAGCGATGAAAAATGTTCGTTTTTCTCTCTTTCCCCCTCTCTGTCCGGTCTTTTCCCCTCCCTCTCTTCTCTTTCGCTCCACTTGCTCTGCGGCGTGGCAGTGCGAGATGACAGCGTGGGTTAGTCCGAGCGCCATCTTCATGTGGACCAACGCTAACACCGCCAAGTTCAGCCAGCAGACGCGATGCCCCAAGGTACGAAATTTGACGCAATCTGACACGATCTGACACGATTTGACGCGATGTGACGCGATCTCCTGAGAGAATGATGCGATGCTTCAGATGTACACCAAGCGCGTATGGACGGACGCGGTTCATGTGACTGACGAGGGGCGGAGACTTCAAAACAAAAGTCACTTCATGAAACTGCGTACCCTCAACACCTGCTGCACTCACGCGTGGTCACTCACGCACTCGTTCCCTTGGTCCGTGTATTCTTCCCCCTCTCCTGCGCTCAGAAAAAACTCCAAGATTTCAAGGCAGCGTTAGAAGAGGCTCAGGAGATCCACAGCAGGACCAAGGGGAAGTCGGCTGGGTGCAGTGGAGCAGGAGGGCTAGCTGCTAACGCCTCAGCACCTGTAAGCAACCCATGGGATGAGGTCCTGTTCTCCCAGCTCTCATCACATCTGGTTTGGTGTAACTGCACTGCTGTGCGTCTCAAAATCTCGTTCCGTAGCATCAGCTTGAAAGCGTTTTGCTGGGGATTCGCTCGTTTCCTGCCTTCTGACTTGTATGCGGCGCGGGTTGCTCCTGGACTGACTGACTGATCGTGCGTGCACCTCCCCCACTCAGCAGAAGCAGCAGCAGGGCGACGGTTCGAGTGCGCAGCAGCCAGTGCACCTGTCACAGGAGATACATGACGAGGAGGGCTTCTGTGTGCACTGCCGCGTGCATGACTACACTCGCAGCTTTGGCCCCAGGTACAGGCGTTGACGTTTCAATCAACTGCCTGGGTTCTCTCGTTTGTTCCCCACTGTATTTTTCGCTGAGAAACGTTGTCTGTGAGTAGCCTCTCTGCTTTCAGTTCATCGCAGCTCAGGATTCACTATTCCTCTCCGTCCCCTGTGCTCACCCTTTCCTCCCTCCTCCCTAATTTGCATCCTTGTGTGTGCTTGTGTGTGCGTATGTGCACGTTTCTGTGCTCATGTTGGTGAATCCACCTCACAGGTGCATCCTCATCTGTTCATGCTGTTGCGAAGAATGGCATGTGAGGTAAATCTCCCTCACTCGCATCCCTTTTTTTCCGGGCAACCCATGTTCTCCAAATGTCCCCTACTTACTGCTCTATTTGCTGATCTTTTCCGCTTATTCCTTCTTTTCTTTCCTTTCCGTTTCTCTGTCACTGTTTCTGTCATGCCTCTAATCATTCCCAATCTTCATTACCCACATCCTCTTCTCCTCCCACCACTGCCATGCCAACCCATCCATCCATTCCCCGTTCCCATCAACCCCTTCCCCCGTCCCCTTATTCCCAAACGCCGTGCATCGTCAGCTGTGCGGAGGAGGTGCAGGGAGTGAAGGTGCAAGCGTCAGTGCTCGACAGTGACGTGGAATGGCACTGCTCCCCCTCCTGCGCCAAGGTGAGCCACAACCGTATTCGAATTTCGGGACGTACCGAACAGATGAGGATGTACCGTACCGTACCATGCTCTACCGTGCCATACCGTGCCCTACCGTGCTGTACCGTGCCTTGCAGGTGGCGGCGGAGCTGAAGGGCATGGAGGGCAAGAGAGTGGAGATCCCCGATGACACTCCCTTCTCCATTGAGCTCGCCCGATACAATGAGAACGACCGAGGTGAATCTTACACGGAACAAAGGACGGGTAGAGGTGCGGGTGGGTGGGGAGGAAGAGTGGGGTCGATGGAAGGTGGGGGGGTTGAGGGACATGGGGTGGGGTTTAGTTCAGGGGTTGGGAGTGGTTCTGAGAAAGTGGGGATGGAAGGCAGGGAAAGCCAGCTGTTACAATGAGTGTGCTCACCACATTGTTGCTCATTGCCCCACTCGCCTTTCTCCACTCGCCTTGCCCCACTTGCCTTGCCCCACTCGCCTTGCCCCACTCGCCTTGTCTCACTCGCCTTGTCTCACTCGCCTTGTCTCACTCGCCTTGTCTCACTCGCATCCCCTCGTTATGCCACTAGCTTACGCTCTTCCACCATTTCTCTCTCCATCCTCCCCGCCCTCCATTGCCAGGCTCCCGTCAGTCCATAGCAGCAGCACTCAAGGTACGCATTTCCCTGCCCTCCCTCCGCCTTCCCTCCCTCCCTCCCTCCCTCTCCCCCTCTCCCATTCCCTCCCTCTCTTCACCTCTCACAACCTCTCTCCGTTTGTCTTCCGTATCCCATCCCCTGTTTCCCTCCTGCCACTGTTCCGTCACCGTACTCAACCCCATCCAATCCTCCTCGTCTGCCAACACCTACCATCACCCATTCTCCCCTCCCCGAACCCCTCCATCTGCCCTCTGCGCGTCCCCTCAGATCCTGCAGGCATCGTTTGACCCGCTGGTCATGGACGATGGGTCGGAGCTCATAGAGAGCATCACCAAGTCGCTCGAGTCTGACGGGTCAGTGCCGTGCCTGCGGTCCCGTTCCCGGAGGCGAGGCTGGGGGAGAGGCTCGGGGGAAGGCTTGGGAAGAGGCTTTAGGAGAGGCTTGGGGAGAGGGTGAATGGCACGCTGGGGGAGATTGGGCCTGGGGATCCCGGGCAAAGTATAGGCGAGCAGTGTTTGTCACTTCTGTGTTTCCTCTCCCTGGTCCCATCTTTGTGTTGCTCACTTCAACTCCCCTCTTGCGCCCTCAAATGATCTCCCCCACCCCACCTTTCATCATGTCTTGACTCTTGTCCTTTCCTTGAATGCAATCCTCTTGCTGCAGCCTTCCCTGCCTCACACACAAACACACATACGTTCCTGCTGTGTTCTTTCTTATCCCTGAACCTCCCTGTCCCTTGCCCACACAGGGATGAGGGCTTCGACTTCAGTAAGTGCCCTTCACTCCTCTATGCCTTTCTCCCCCTCTCGCTCCAGCTTTCCCCTTCCTTGCCACCTTTTCTCCATCCGCCTCGCCTCTCCTTCCCATCCCTCTCCTTCGCTCGCCCTTACTCTCACTACCCACGTGCCACTCTAAGCAATTCCGCCTCGTTTGAGTAGCTCCATATGCTGCCTCATCCTTCCCTCATCTCCTTGTCCCCGCCTTCATCCCATTCTCACTTCCTTCGGAACCTTTTCCACCTAGTACGAAGTTGCCCGCCAGCTTTTAGCTATCCACCTAATTCTGCTCGAACGAAAGGGCTGCCGTGCCTTCTCTCCTTCTCCACTCTCACAACGCTTGCTTGCTTCCATGCCTCCCCCTGCTGCCTGCCCGCAGGTAATTTTCGGGTGGTGATTCTACGCAAGGGAGCATTGCCCATCACTGCAGCCACGTTCAGGTAAATGAGCCACACCCCCACCCTCTTCTGCTTGCTGTTGTTTCTTGAGTCGACTCGTAAGGGAGCAGTGCCCATCACTGCAGCCACGTTCAGGTAACGCCGCATCCCCCGCCCTCTTCTGCTTGTGCTTGCTGCACATACGGGGGGGCGTGGGAGGGTAATAGGTATCCGTGTTCAAGAGCTTTATGCCAACCACGCGTTTCCTCCTTTGAAGGGGCTTGCGAATTTCATTGTCCGTTGCTCGGCTGTTTGAATCACTCTGACTCGCCTCATCTCTCTGCATCTTACCTTTGCTTCTCCCCTCCTCTTCTCTCTCCAACCCCACCTTTCCTTTGCTTGTGGTCATCATCAGGGTGTTTGGAGCAAAGTTTGCTGAAATGCCATTTGTGGCAACTCGTGTCGGTAAGTCTGCTGCTGCTGCTGCTGCTGCTTCTGCTGCTACTGAGCATCCATTTCACTGCTGTATGCTAAACCTCGTCCCGAGCCCGATCCATGCTTGTGCGTACATGGACCGAACTCACCCTCTCTCCTCTCTCGCCCTCCTCTCCTCCTCCACCCCCCTGTGCTGCAGACTACCGGCGCAACGGCAACTGCCGGCGACTCATGCGAGTGAGTGGCGGTGCCGATGCGGTTCTCAAGGGTTGTGTGCTGTGCAGGCTAGAGGAAAGCGGTAGATGTGGAAGAGGAGCGCAGCCATCTGGTTGTTGAGCTTTCAGAGTCTTTCATCTCCTGCAATCAGTGGTGTGGTGTGGTGTGGTGTGGTGTGGTGTGGTGTGGTGTGGTGTGGTGTGGGCCACATGCGGTCGCCGTTTAAGGATGTACACAGCAGTTGTGGGGGAAAGTGGGGGGAAGTGGGGAGGGGGAGGGGGAGGAGGTGGCGGAGGGTAAGTCTTGTGGGCTACGAGACGCATGTGCGTGCATCTATGGGGTGAGGGTGGCTTTCATTCGATTTCTTTCCCTCCCTTTTCCCCCCCGTTTCCTCCCGCTCTGTCCTTACTCATTCCTTGCTCCGTGCCTCTCCTCCTCACAGGTGGTGGAGGATATACTTCGCCTTCTAAGGGTGAGTGGCGAAGGGGAGGGGAGGGGAAACGAGCTGGGATGGGGGAGAGTTGACTGAGTGGGCATGAGAGGTCGAGTGGGCATGAGGGATAAAGGGCACAGGTGGTGGAGGATATACTTCGCCTTCTACTAAGGGAAGGGTGAGTGATGAAGGGGAGGGGAATAACGAGGTGGGACGGGGGAGAGCTGGATGAGGGCGCATGAGGTGGGCATGAGGCGGGCATGAGGGGTCAAGCGGATGAGGGAGTCAAGTCAGGTGGGGGATAAGATGCATGAGCCATTAGTGGCTGTGTAACTCAGGTCGCCCCTTCACAGTCACTACTGACTCATGCATCTTATCCCCTGACCTACCTCCCCACCTTCATAATCGCCCGCAGTTACATCTCATGTCCCCTGCTCACGCCCTCCTTCCCTTGCGTGCCTCCTCTGCTTTCCCTCTTTATCTTTCTCTCTTTCCTCCCGTTTTTGCTCCCGATATCCCCCATCTTCCTCACTCCCAGGTGCCAGTGCTGTACATGCCGTCAGTCAAGAGCGTGGTGGGCATGTGGACTCGCCGCTTTGGCTTCCAGCTGCCGCCCACGGCTGAGCTGCAGATGATCGAGAGTGAGTGGCGGGGAGGTGAGAGAGTAGAGTGAGGGGAGGTGAGTCTCCTGTCCATCGTGGACAACAGTGAGTGAGTGAGTGATTGAGTGATTGGAAGGGTGCAGATCAGAAACTTGTCGTTTGCTTTAGCAAGCTGATAGAATCTAGAGTTCTCCCAGTGCTAGGCTGACGACGAAGTCCCTTTCCATGTTATCTGCGAACCTGTCTAGCAAACCCCCACTTGATTGCTTCCCTTCTCCATCCCCGCTCTCCCTGTTTCTGCTCACTGTGTCTCCCTGTTCCCCTTCCCTCTTCCCTCACCTCCTCCCTTCATCTTCCCCTCTCACTGTGCCTTCCCCTTTTAATCTGATCTCTCCAGATAAGATCATCTGCCCGGATCCCGCTAGTTCAACCATGCTGAAGCGGGTCATAGAGCCTATAGGCAAGTCAGCTGCTGCAGGCACACCCTGTGCGTTGCCGCCTGCCGTTCTCCCTCCCATGCGCACTCGCCGTGCCATTGCTGCTGCTGCTACCGCCTCTGCCAGTGCTGCTGCCAGCCAAAGCATGTCTGCTGGTGGGAGTGTGAATCTCGCTGGCAGCGCTGCTGCTGCCGCCGCCGCCGCTGCTGCTGCTGCTGCAACGTCTGCTGGTGGTTCTGTGGCGGGAAAGCGAAAGAAGGGGAAATCACGCGATAAAGGGGCCGTCAAGGGAAGGGCTGCAGCAGAGGGTACAGGCAATGGATCTTCCAAGCCAGGTGGTCCTGCCAAAGCGCCCTCTGTGAAATCTGAACCAGCTTGTTGCATGGATTCCGCCCTATTGGCGTCTGGTCCTATAGCAGTGTCTGTTCTTGGACTCAGCACTGGCACTGGCGCTGCAGCAGCGGCAGCAGCAGCAGCGAGTGCAGCAGAGGCAGCAGCGGGTGGGGTGAGCGGTTTTGGACAGATTGGGGCGGATAAGGGTGGTGCAGATAAGGATGGGAGGGGTAGTGGAGATAAGGATGGGAGGGGTAGTGGAGATAAGGATGGGAGGGGTAGTGGAGATAAGGATGGGAGGGGTAGTGGAGATAAGGATGGGAGGGGTAGTGGAGATAAGGATGGGAGGGGTAGTGAAGATAAGGATGGGAGGGGTAGTGGAGATAAGGATGGGAGGGGTAGTGGAGATAAGGATGGGAGGGGTAGTGGAGATATGGATGGGAGGGGTAGTGGAGATAAGGATGGGAGGGGTAGTGGAGATAAGGATGGGAGGGGTAGTGGAGATAAGGATGGGAGGGGTAGTGGAGATAAGGATGGGAGGGGTAGTGGAGGAGTTGGTGCTGTTGGGGGGCTAGGCGTCCAGCAGGGGCAAGAGGATGGGGCGGCAGCGTCGCAGGGGGTGTGTGGTGATGTGACTGGGATGAAGCATGTGGCAGGAGCAGGTATCTCTGTGAAGGTCGGCCTTGCGCAGAAAGCAGGGCAAGGGGAGATGGTTGCGCCAGTACCAGCAGTAGGTGCATCAACAGCAGCACAGAAGAGTTGTGTGGTTGCTCAGGGCCCATTCGCCGGGGTTGTTGTGAAGCAGGAACCTGGGACGGTGCCGGCAGCACCGCAATTTTCACCAGTACCACCATTCCCCGCGTCAGGACAGGAGGCTGGTGCGTTGGTGCGGCCACAGGTGGTGGTGAAACTGGAGCCTGGCGTGGAAGGGGATGCAGGGGTGCAGGGGACAGGCGCAGGGGTGGCACGGCGAGCAGGTAAAGGTGGTGCCTCCAAGAAGCCACGGCACAACCCTGCTGCTGCGGCTGTTGGTGGTGGTGGCGCTGCTGCTGCTGGTGCTGGTGATGGTGGTGGCGCTGGTGCTGTTGGTGGCACCGGTGCTGGTGTTACAGCCAGCAAGCAGCGGAAGCGAAAGCGGCCTCAGGGCAAGGGCGCGTCAGGTGCATGCAGAAACGAAGGGGAGCAAGAGGAGGAGGATGAGGTGAGGGTGTTCTCACAAGAGGAGCAACTGTGGTGGGATGACCGTGTGAGCAGAGTGCTGGACCAGTGGGCTGCTTCGGTGCCTGGAGGTGGGAGCAAGGCAGGCGCAGGAAGAGGGACCAAGGGGCAGGATCCCGGGGCGAAGAGAGTGAAGCAGGAACCACAGGAAATCCCACAGCAGCAGCAGCAGCAGCAGCAGCAGCAGCCGTTGCTACCGTTGGTGGAGCAGTATGCCTTGTTTGGCACCGCCACTGTGTGCAGAGGCACTGCTGCTGGCGCTGCTGGTACTGCTTCCACTGCTGGCACGTTCGGAACTACTGGAACTCCTGCGTTTGGACCACCCTTGCAGCCTGCACCAGGCGTGCCTTATCACGTCCTCCCTCCTGGTATGTTGCTCCGATGGCTGTGCCATACCGTGCTGTGTCACTTCTTCTGAGATGCCTCAAACTTTGCCTTATGATTTGAGGGCGCCTCATATGTTGTACCGTTCTTGCTGTGTTATCATGCATGTGTGGCTCTTCTCCGCACATGCTGCATCTATCTTAACCTTCATGAAACGAAAACCCAAGACCCTCACCTTGTGTCTGCCGCTCAACTCTTTCTCTGCCTTGCCCCTGTTGTGCTGCAGATATGACCTTCACTCGCCTCATGCAGGAATGCCTGCAGATTCCCACCGCAGCCACAGGCACAAGCCGCATGCCAGCAGCAGCAGCACCAGCAGCACCTGCTGTTGCTGTTCCAGTTCCAGGAGCAATCGCCACACCAGCTGCAGCAGCAGCAGCAGATGTGCCTACAGAGCAGCAGGGCCAGCAGCAGCAGGGGGAGAAGGAAGAGCAGATGCGGTGTGAGCGGGAGAGGGTGGAGAGGGAGGTGGAGGAGGCATTGGTAGGGCAGGTGGCGGACCTGGTGAGGGCGCTGCCTCAAGACACCCTGCTGCAGGCGCTGCTGGGAGGGTTGAGAGGGGCAGGCGGGGGAGAGCACGAAGCTGGTGGGCTCAGGAGGTGCCTGGAAGGAGTTTCAGGGGCAGGCTCAACTGCAGGTATGCACAGGAGTTGCAGTGGCGGGGTATTGAGCATGCCGCTTGTCCAATTATGCAAAATAAAAGGATGTTTTCAATAATTCACGTGTTTCCTTCCCTCTGGATATGCATCTTTGTTCGTCTCCCCCCTTTACCCACCCTCCAGGCTCCATCACTTCTCTCTTCCACCACTGGAAAAGAGGTGAGGGTGGGAAAAAGGGGAGACGAACAAAAGGGTGCAGGGGGAGCCTCCAGGCTCCATCACTTCTCTTCCACCACTTTTCCCTGCAGAGCATGCTGCACACGTGCACTCTGATCCGGCCTGCCTCACTTGCTCACTGCTCGTTGTTCATAGCATGCCCCCCCTGCCTCCCTCCCCTGCCTCCCCCTTGTGCTTGTATGTTCAGCCCATCGCATCTTGGAAGCCGTCTTGGCTCAGTGCACGCCCTTGCTGCAACCACTGCTGCCACCAGCAGCAGCAGCAGCAGCAGCAGCAGCAGCTGCTGCTGCAGAATCATCTGGCATGCCTTATCCAGCAAAGCCTCTCACATCACAAAAAGGAAACACTGTACCTGCAAATAATCTGGCAGCAGCAGCAGCGGCAGCAGCACCAGCGGCAGCAGCACCAGCAGTAGCAGCACCAGTAGCAACAACCACAGCAGCACCTGCAGCAGGACAGTCGCCTCTACCAGCGCAGGTTCTTGCAACATTGGCCACCCGTGCCCCTGGATCCCCTGCTTGCAGATCAACAGCGGCAGCAGGTGCATCCCCTCTAGCTGCCCTCACGCGTACACCTGCAACCTCACCAGAGGCTGCTGCTGCTCTTGCTTCTCTGGCCGCTGGCCTGCCTGTGCACGCACTGGAAAGAGATGCCGAGCTGGAGAACTCAGTCTGTGAAGATGCTGTAGAGGGTGGGACAGGGAGAGGGAGAGGGAGAGGGGAAACGGAAGGACCTGTGAGGAAAGCAGTGGGAACTGGTGGTGGGCATGTGTGGTTGCTTGCAGCAGGTGGAGGCTTGGGAGATGGAGTTAGGGTAGAGGAACTGGCAGAAGCTGAGGTGGCATTGCGAAAGGCAGGGGAAGCAGGAGGAGGCGGTGTCAGCAACAGGGGGGGGTGCAAGGGTGACACTAATGGGAGGGATGCAGGGGGGCATGAGGAAGCAGTGGCGGAGGGAGCAGTGGCGGAAGGAGCAGTGGCGGAGGGAGCAGTGGCGGAGGGAGCAGTGGCGGAGGGAGCAGTGGCGGAGGGTGCAGTGGCGGAGGGAGCAGTGGCGGAGGGAGCAGTGGCGGAGGGAGCAGTGGCGGAGGGAGCAGTGGCGGAGGGAGCAGTGGCTGAGGGAGCAGTGGCGGAGGGAGCAGTGGCGGAGGGAGCAGTGGCGGAGGTAGCAGTGGCGGAGGGTAATGGTGACGAGCTAGCAGCAGAGGGGTCAACGGGGGAAGATGCGAAGCAGAGCACACATGTGAAAGTCGAGTCAGATCAAAGGGCAGGTCTTTTGACGGAAGGCAGGAAGGATGACAGGGCAATTGTTAACGGGCGCGGGCAGCAGGTGGGGGGCCAACAGGAACGCGATGGGGGGAGAGAAAGCAGTGAACAGTACGCAGCATTGGTGGCGGTGATGGGGGCGGTGGAGCTTGCTGCCCCGGATCAGGTGGCAATGGATGAGGGGCGGGTGGGTGAGAAGGACGTGGGTGAGAAGCAGGTGGGTGAGAAGCAGGTGGGTGAGCCGACTGACGAAGGCAGCGTTCCGAGGGACGCAGTGGTGGTGGGGGCGACTGCTGACACGTCAGCAACAACAGCAGCATTGGCGCCAGCAGCAGCAGCAGCAGCGGTGGCGGCGGTGGCATTGGCTCCTGGTGAAACTGTTTCGAGCAGCTGTCATGCGGTGGAAAGCACCCCGTCCTGCTCTCTTTCACTGCTATCCCCAGCAGTCACCCTTGCTGTCAACTCTGAAAGCACCCCTACCGCAGCTGCCGTCACGGCACCTGCAGCTGCAGTCGCTCCACCTGCAACCACGGCCCATTCTGTCCCTTCAACAGCAGCAGATGTTGCTGCTGTGGCTGCAACGCTGCCTGCTGTTTTCTCATGCACCAAGGGTCAGTCTGCTGGTACAGAAGCCGCTGGTGCTGCTGTGGTTGCTCCACCCGCTGAAGCCCCAACAGGTGCTCGTATCCCTGCCACTGCTGCAACTGCTGACACTACTGCCTCTGCCCCTGCGACCACCTCTGTTTCTACCAGTGCTAGTGCTCCTGCATCTACCCCTGATCCTTCTGCCCCTGCTCCTCTTCCAGCTCCTGCCACTGCTCCTGCCACCACTCCTGCTCCTGCTCCTTCTCCTACCACTGTCACTGCTCTGTGCCCGCCTGCGTCAACCACCCTGCTTCCGTGCTGCACACTGGCTGCTGAAAATCTGAGCCTCACAGGAGAGAGCAGGAGCCGCGAAGGGAAGTGCTCGGGCCACAAAGGGGAGTGCTCGAGCCTGTGTCGTGGTGATGGTACTCCCCTCGCTCTGGATTTCCTGACTGCTGATCTGACTGCAGCAAGGGGGAGGCCGTATGTGAGACCGGTGGTAACTGCCATGGCATGTGTGGTGGAGGGTGGGGGGGGTGGAGGAGAGAGAAGAGTGGTGGCGGAAGAAGGAGCAGCAGCAGGGAGAGGAGAGGTTTCGGTCGGGGGGGCGGTAGGAGGAAGGGACAAGGGTGCGGGTGAAAGGGCAACGGCTGGTGGTGGGAGTGGGAGGTGTGAGGGAGGTGAGTCGAGTGCGGCATGTGACGGGACGAGGCAGGAGCAGCAGCACCCGCAGCAACAGGTGCAGACACGGGCGGAACAAGCAGGAACTGGGGCATTGACTGTAGCACCATCTCCCCTACTACTACCTCCTCTCCCCACCACCAACATGCCTCCACACCACGCCCCTCACATCCCCCCACCACACCCAGTCCACACAGAGTCAAACCACAGGACTCTCCTTCCTGCCCCCAGCATGGACCCATACCAGCCTCGTTACCATAACCCTCTTATCCCCCCTTCCTTTCCTAACTTCCAGTCCCTGCCCCCCGATGTGCTGCGCTCTCTCCTCTTTCAAAGCCATCGCCCTGTGCCTTCGCCTGCTGCTCATGGGAATGTGCCTCTGCGCTTTCCCCCTGCAGCAGCAACCACAGCACCCCTGTCAGGCGCACCAGTACAAGCACATGCACAGGCACGGGGACAGACAGCAGCAGTAGTGCAAGCAGCACCGCTCTCAGGAGCGATGCAAGCAGCAGCCCAAAGTGCATTGCCGACAGGAGCAGCGTCTGGCACCGCTAAAGCACATGCCACAGTAGCCATGCCACCACCATCCGTGAAACCACCAGCTACACTGTCCCAAGCCATCAAATCCTTAACTCGCACTCTCCCACCCGCTTCCCTCATACCCCCCCAAGCTCCTCCCAGCCTTACCATGCACATGCCCTGGCCGCTACTCCCAACCATGCCTGGGAACACAGGTTCTACCCATCCTTCCTGCCCCCTCCCACACCTTCCCTTCTGCAACCCTCTCTCTGGGTTCAGCTTGCCTTCTGGTTGGAACAGGGTGGGCGGGGAGAGGACTGTCGGAGTGGCAAGGGAGGGGAGTTTAGCGGCGGTAGCAGCGGCAGGAACAGGGGTGGTAGCTGCAGGTGCGGTGGCAGCAGCTGGTGATACCAGAGCAGCAGGAGGAGCAAGGGAGCAGGTGCAGCAGCAACATGGCGTTTTCCCAGCATATGGCTCGCAGCAGCGCCTAGATGAATCAAGGCCCATCTTCCCTGCGCTGGGTCCCCAGTCATCCCTTCCTCATCTACTCCCCCGTGCAGCTTGCACTACCGGGATAGAAGCAGCTCATGCTGCTGCTGCTGCTGCTGCTGCTGCTCCTGCTGATGCTGCTATCTCAGCTCCTCCTGCTGCTGTTTCTGCTTTTCCTTCTGCCTCTCCTATTGTGTCTTGCCCTCTAGCTGCTGTTGATGCTGCTCCTGCTCTTGCTCCTGCTCCTGCTCCTGCTCCTGCTCCTGCTCCTGCTCCTGCTCCTGCTCCTGCTCCTGCTCCTGCTCCTGCTCCTGCTCCTGCTCCTGCTCCTGCTCCTGCTCCTGCTCCTGCTCCTGCTCCTGCTCCTGCTCCTGCTCCTGCTCCTGCTCCTGCTCCTGCTCCTGGCCCTGCTCCTGCCCTTGCCCCTGCCCCTGCTCCTTCTCTTTCTCCTTCTCCTTCTCCTTCTCCTTCTCCTCCTCTTCCTCATGTTACTCGTGCTGCTGCACGTGCTGCTGCTGCTGCAGCTGCCGCTGCTGCTGCAGCTGCCGCTGCTGCTATTGCTGCTACTGCTGCCACTGCTCCTGTTACCCGTGCCAGTGCTCGTGTTGCTGCTCGTTCTGCTTCTTCTTCTTCTCCTGCTGCTACACCTGCTGCTACCGCTGCTGCTACTGCTGCTACAAAAACTGGTGCGGTGCAGGAAGAACGTTTGACTGAGGAGGAAGGTGGGGGCGGAAGGGGAGGAGGAAGTGGGAGGGCAAGAGGGAGAGGAAGGGGTGGAAAAGGAGGGAGCACGGGGCAACAACGATCAGGGTCAAGATTAGAAGATTCTTCGGATATTGAGAAATTAATCAAAGGAGCTCCACGAGGGAAAAGGAAAGGCAAGGGCACAGGGACAGGCACAGGGACAGGCAGGGGGGCAGGCACAGGCACAGGCGGCTGTGAGAGGCTTACTGGTGGTGAGGGTGGCGGTGCGGAGGCGGCTAAGAGCGATGGTGGTGGTGAGTATCCCTGTGGTAGTGTGGATGCGGATGGTTTATCCTGTGGTGCTGATAAGGGCCGTAGTGATGGTTGCAACGCCAGTGGCAGTCGTGGAGTGGATGGTAGAGCTGATACTGAGGGTAAGGAGAGCAAGGGTGCATTGGCAGTTGAGGAGAGCAAGAGTGCACGGGGTGACGAGGAGAGCAAGAGTGCATTGGGTGACGAGGAGCCCAAGGCAGGGATTCTTATGGCGGCTGGGGGGTTAATGGCAGGAGTCGTTGGAGTGATGAAGCTGGGGGTGACAGGAGGGGACTGTAACGCAGCAGCTACAATAGCAGGAGGAGAAGTATTAACAACAGCTGCAGCATCGGCAGCAGCAGCGACATCGCCAGTAGCAGCAGTAGCAGGAGTGGTTACAGCAGCACTGTCAGGAGCAGCAAGTGCAAGGGATGAAGGAGAGGGTGATGCTCTGGTGGTGCTCCCTCCCCCACTTATATCCACCCTTTCAACTCTGCCTCATGAGCCTCTCTCCCAGGGAAACCCTCACCTAATCTCACAGGCTACAGCATTGCCAACAGCCCTCAACATACCATCCATCGGCCAAACACCATGCGCCCACCAAAATCCACCCACCCACCACCTTCAACCAGCGCGACTAGCAGCCCCGTCAGCACCCACCCCTACAACGCCCACCCCCACTGCACCCACCACGGCCTCTCAGAGCATCTCGGCTATTCCATCCCCGTGGACACTCAGCCCTGCTGCTGTTGCCGCTGCCCCCACTTCAGCTTCCATTGACACCCCTGCACTTGCACCTGCACTTGCACCTGCACCTGCACCTGAGCCTGATTCAGCTCCTGCCGCTGAGCCTGCACTTGCATCTGCCGCTGCCACTGCTTCTGGCCTTCTTCCTCCTCCTCCAGCTCCTGCCTCCCCTCGTCCTCCTCCTGCCTCCTCTCCTTGTCCTGCTTCTGCTGCTGCACCACCTGCCTGTGCAACCCCTGCTGCTCCCCGTACCAAGGACTGCTTTGCCTCACTCCTTGCTGCCAAACCGAGGGGCCCCAAAGATGCTTTGGGCATCGCATTGGTAGGTGTCAGCTTGTGGTTTATGGTGATGTGACAGCATGTGAAGAGTATCATGTGTGTCCTTCTTATGACCCCCATGAATATCCCTCGATCCACATGATTGTCCCTCACCCCCCAAGATTTTCCCTCACACCCCCTTTTTTTTCCCTCACACACGTCATTACCTTTTTTTCTCACACATCCCCATAAATCTTCCCTCTCACGCTCCCCACAACTTTCCCCTCCCACCCCCCATGGTCCCCCTCGCACTCTTCATGATTGTACCTAGTTATTCCCTCTCACACGCGCCCCATGATTCCTACAGTGGACCCACCCCTCCCCACCCTTGCTCGCCCCTCTGCCCTCCTGCTGTGCTGCTGCAGGTGGGTGAGTCCCCTCCTGACATCATCAACGAGTGGCCGGCAGTCCACAGAATCACAGGTTTCTATCTAGAGGAGTGACATGCTGACATGACATGGTGTGACATACCCTGACATGGCTTGGGATGACATGGGATTGCATGACTACTGAATGTTGTTCTATAAGCTGGTAATTGGACACTAGGTAGGTAGGTACGTATGGACAAGCATACAGTAGCATAGCAGACATGCCTTACTTTGCCTTACATAGCATACAGTAACAACACCCATGGCTTGCATTGCATGAATACCAGTGTTTTTACGGGTATTCTGAAGTTACTGGGCTGGGCATACAAGCATACGTGTACCATACTTCCCAGTTGGGCGGTAATCAGTCTAGGGTGAATGAAGAGGTACACTCCAACCCCTTCATTATCACCTTGACTCCGGTCGGCGGAGGTCTGACGCTGTGACTGTGTGCGGAATTGGGGTACAGGAGGGCCATTTCATATCCCACCCAATTACAGTATGGTAGGTACTGGTATGCCAGCCAGCATTTTGCCGCATAAGAGCAGACGTAGTATGTGCCGTACGTTATGGTAGAGAGAGTGGCTTTCTTGAACAGCCGTATCCAATCCAATCTAATCACACAAGGGCGTTCATTATGCGTTGCACAAACTCATTGCTGGGTGGGTGGGTGGTAGGTTATGGTCCCCCCAATTGGATTACAGCGTTAGAGCCTTACCAGATGTTTTTCACACAAATAGCCCAGACCGGTAGTGACTATATGAGAAAGTTTTCAATCAATTAACTCATCTGGCTTTACTTGACCATTTGCAATAGCTTAGTGCAACGAACGATCTTCTAGACAACTTCACTTCAGCTACAATCTGGAAAGGTAGAAAAAAAACAGCCCGATCTTGGAATCACCACTGTCAAGAGGGGAATGATGTAGACCGCTCTTCAGAAACCTGATCGCACATTCTCCTCCGCACAAATCGTCACCACAGCAACCCATCCTCGTTAAACCCTTCCAGCTGTTCCTCCTCCAACCCAATCCATCATCCTAGGTACCGTACTTCTTTATCCATGCACTCAACCACAGCCCGTTTACGGCTTGTCGTCAATGTGTTTCCGGAGCACCTCCACCACCGACTTGAACGCAAACCACTCTGGAATGTCCTCTCCCGCCCGCAGCTTGCGCCTGAACTCCGTGCCTGAAAGCTTCTTCAGGTGGTAACCCTTTTCCGTCGCCACGTCGGCAGTCACGTACCCCTCCTCCTCTGTGTAAACCTGCAGTGGTGGTGGTGGAATAGGATTGGTGAATGACAAGTGAGAGAGCGCACAATTAGATAGCAGCGAGAGTGTGAAAGGGGGTAGTGGGGTCGATACACAAACGAGAAAGCAAGTGGTGGAAAAAAAATTAAAGAGTCAATGGTAAGGAGCAGACAACAGGGGGGAGATAGGACATGGACATACAGAGACGGATAACAAATTAAAGATGGGTCACTGTGCAAGGGTAGGGACTCGGTGCAAGAGAAGGAAACGGAGGGTGGAAAAAAGAGGTAGAGATGTGGGGGGTGGAAGTGGGGGGGCGGGGGAGGGGAGGAGGGGAATTTGAAGGATGGAAGAAAGGAATGGGGGGGGAAATGGAGAGAGGGGGGGGGGGGGGGGGGCAAGGGAAGGGAGAGCGTACCAGGTTGAGGGACGGCACAGTGTCCATTCCAAGTTCAGCAGAGTGCAGCTTTGCGAAGTCCTGCACTCACACATGCAGGGAGGAGAGCACACACGCACAGCCAGCAACGGATTGACGCAGATGTTATCATCGCCATCACAGATGTGGAGTTTTCCCACAGAGTCACACGTGGGTAGAAAGGTGTTATTCAACGGGCCTTGCTCTTGAAAAGTCTCAAGAGGCCACCAAGCCTTACACGAAAGGGACTGAACACTCGCCTCTCCCATGCAAACCACCTAATCCCCCCCTACTCGTCACCGAAGCATCCCTACCTCCAATCTTCCCCAGCCAGATTTCCAACTCAAGCTCGTACAAGCTTCCACCTCAGTCCCCTGCAAAACCCTCTTAAAACCCGTCCCTGACTCCCCCCTCCCCTCCCCGCACCTGAGCATCATAAGGCCCGTAGAAGTCCTCGCCAGTGCGGCTGCTCTTGGAGCCGGCCATGTCGCGGCCAATGATGAAGTGCGTGCACCCGTAGTTCTTGCGCAGGATCATGTGCTGAATCGCCTCGCGCGGGCCCGCCATGTGCATCGAGTATGGCAGGTACGCCCACCTGCGGGCCAACAAGTCGACGCGGGGAGGACGGGGAAGAACGCGAGGCGAGAGTGAGGAGGGGGGAATCCAGGGGGCGAAGAACGGGAAGGCGAGCGGGGAGGAGCAACCCAGGGGGGAACGACGTGGGAAGGCGCGAAACAAGGTTCCGAGCACAAAACAGACGGCAGCAAGCATAGCAGTGGGTGGGCGAGTGTGTGGAAAAGGATGAAGCGCGGCACTCACTGCACGCGCGGGTCGTGCTTCTCCTCCTTGAGCACGAGGTACGTCTCGTAGCGCACGGGGCCAGGCACGTCGTCCGCTTGCGTGGGGCCGCACGTGGGATGCACGAGCACAATGCCGTCCTGCACACGCACCGGGCAAGAGAACGGCCGCAGCAACGGCAGCGGAAAAGGCGAAGGCAACGGCTGAGGCGAAACGCTAAAACAATCTCGTGTGCGTTGATGAATGGTCTTGTGTAAAGAGAAGCAGTAGAAGCAGTAGAAGCAGGCGGAATGCTACTTCACTTCACGCGACGAAGCTTCCTTGTAGTCACATGTTGATCCCCATAGCCAGGAGTTAGAGAGGGAGGGAGAGAAAGGTGGCGAGGTAGGGATGGAAGAGGGAGGGAAGGAGGAGCGGGAAGAGGGGGAAAGGTAAGGGAGAGCGATAAACTAGGCAGAACCTCGCACGGGAAAGGACGACAGTCAGCAAGGGGAGGCAGGGACGCACCTCGCCGACGTTTTCCGCGAAGAGCGAGCGCGAGAAGAGCTCGTAGTGCGCGCGGTGCACGGGGTTGCGGCACTGGAACGCCACCACGTCGATGTGCGGCGCGAGCTCCGCGCGCACCTCCGCGGGCGTCTTGCAGGGGAAGACGCGGCGCGGGATGGTGAAGCCCCACACCTTGCCGCCGATGTACCACGGGCCGCGCTCAGTCGCCACCATGAGCGTGCCGGGATGCTCCAGCGACGATGTGCTGAATGGAGAGACAGAAAAATATAAGAGATAAAATGAGATAAATGAGTGGAATGAGAAAGACAGAGAGTCATCGTGCGCGAGCACGTGAGAAGCTCTCCTCCCCCTTTCCCCCTCCCAAAAAATAAGGAATGCAAGCTCAAAGTTTATGCCACGAGGCAGGCGTACCCGTAGCACTTGAAGGTCTCCTTGACCTTGTCGGGCTGCCACTTGCTCTCGACCTCCATGACAGCGAGCACCTCGCCGTGGTAGTGCAGCGCCACGCGCTGCCCCACCTTGATGTCCGGATCGAACGTGTCCATCACCACCGGCAGCCCGAACAGCAGGTCCGAACCTGCCGATGTGAATGCGAGAGAGAGTTGGTGGACGGGGAGAGAGGAGGGAAGGGATGAGAAAAGGAGGAGAGCGGAAGAGGGAGAGGTGGGGGAGAATGGCGGTTGGGGGAGAAGGGTGACAGAGAGACACGAAGCAGGAAGGTGAGAACGGGTGGAATGAACAAAGCCTGCACTCACGCCAGCCAGCTACCCCGGTAGACGCATGTTCTCGACGACGAGGTTGCACACGTCCTCGTTCATGAACCCCGTGGGCGGCGAGATTTGATCATAAGGCGCCTAACAAAATCGTATCCCGCCAGCCGGCTTACCTGGCAGGCGCATGTTCTCGACGACGTAGTTGTACACGTCCTCGGTCATGAACCCCTCGAGCGGCGAGAAGCCGCCGACAGCCAGCACCTCGACGTCGCACGACTGGCGCTCGTTGAGGTCTAGCTTGACGCCCTTGCAGCTCGCCAGCAGCTCCTCCTTCTCCTTCTGATCCGTCACCATCAGGTTCACCAGCTTCCCGCCGTGCGGCTCCTGGCGTCCGTCTGGCCCGCGCCGGGCGATCTTTCTGCGGGTTTGAAGCCAGATACAGAGCGACGGAGGGGTTATAAAAGACCAGGAAAACCAATGTCGCGATGTTGATCTCCTGATCGCTACGAGAAACGGGTGGCCACCTTGTTTTCCGAATAGCAGAAGGAGATCAGAGATGACTTACGATTTCGATGCAGCTGCAGCAGAAGCGGCGAAGCCGCGCTGAGCAGTTGGTGGAATCATGGGTCCCCCAATCACCTGTATCAGGAGACGAAAATGACGATCACTAGCTAATCAACTTAACACGAAGTTTAGAAACCTAGGACGAAAATCTGACGAATAATGCTTATGCTAGCGACGGATCAGTGAATGGGACTGAACAAGGAAAAACATATTCATGGAAGTCGACGTGTACCTTATCCATGAGGAACGGACTGGCGGCTGGAACGCACGACTCCAGTAGCGACGGCGTCGCAACCTCCCTCTGGGCGATGGCGACGGAGCTGCGAGCGGCCCTAGCAAGGAGAGCAGGCAGACGCCTTCTCAGATGCGCGGCCATGCTTTCCGAGTCGTGGAGTCGAGGCTGTCAGATCACACCAGCTTGAGTGTGAAAGAAGTTGGGCAACCAAGCAACCAAAACTTCAATGAAATGAAGCTCTTGAAATGCCTGCTTGCATGCAAACCTCGAGGTGGTTCGGGGTCAAAACTGCAGCACAATAAGCGGTTCGGATGGTTCAGGATGAATTGAAGTCGGTTAGGATGCTGATGGTGTCGAGGTTGCGCGGACGCTGGTGGTTGGCTGGGCTGTTGACGGGCCGATCATCAGCTGCCTGTTGAGTGAAAAATGAAAGTGAGATCTGGATCGTCGAACAGGGATTTCAGAAATAGTGCTGTGCTGTCCCGGAAAGTACGAGATCGAGGAGCGGATGAGAGGCCACGTGGCATAGAATATTGGTCACCATTCAGAGCTGACGCCCACCTGCCTCCACTTTCGGGCTGGGGCTGGAAGC